CAAATTCAAATCTGAGTAACAATATCCTTTCAAAAATATTCAAAACCTGCAGAATAGCAATCCTAAAGGTTTGCTTTTGATCAGTATGGAGAGAGTTTGCTATCTGGTTGGTGAAATTCCAGGTGGCAACATCATCCCTCCTCTAATAGCCAGACAGGTCACGTCTTCTGCTTTTTGCAGTTTACAATTGCTTGTGCAACCCTACAAAAATACAACTTCCACATCCTAGAGACCGGCAGCTGACACCATCTTTTTATACATTGACTGTGACACATCAGAAGAAGGTCGCCACTAAAAAACTCTTGGTTCATAAGTGAAAGCATCTCAAGTTATAGGTAAGGATTTATTTTAAACATGAACTGTTGAACAGCTCCTAAATACTTTGGATTTAAATATTTTTGTTCTTCAAATGTAAGTAACTAAAATAATCACAGACAAGGCCAGTCAATTAGATTCATCTCAATTAAGTATAGGAACACTTTTTTGCTAATGTTTTAAAGATGACCAAACCACTTTAATGACATTCAGACAAACACTATACATTACAGTTTCTAGAAAGTGTTAAACCATATTTTTCCTGAATCAGCACCTTCAGTCCTATTTATTCAACCTATTAGTTCAATCAAGCAGACATGCCAATTGTGAAGTTAATTTTAAAAACAGATTGCCTCAAGCTTTCCTGGCCTTCAAAATCAGTAGATATCACTGGACATAGATATCACTAGGACATTAGTCCTAGATTACAAACTAAGCTTATCAGAAGTTGAAAATAAACTATAACCTTCTTTTATAAAATCAATTCTGACTACAAAGCTTTTGCACTTAAGTATTTTACACACTCGAAGGCTGTTTTGGATATTGTTTTAAGTGCTCTTTGATCTTTTCCTTTCCACTAACCAATAATTCGTGTCCAGTTTCTCTGAGTCAAAAGGTCATTCAGCTACCTATGGAAATAAACAATAACACGCTACCTCCTTTAAGTTACATACATTTGAAAATAAAGGTGTTCATAGTGTAGCTCCTTATCAAGAAGACGGACACCAACTCAATCAATTAAAGTCTCAAGCTGGCATACTTTAATAGCTATCAAATAATCACATTTATTTACAGGGAAGAGTTAAAATTCACAACTTAAAAAAAAAAAAAAAAGAAAACCAAAACATCATTCAAACCACCAGTATTGCACGATGTGCAGTAGTGTATTACCACAGCATCCAAAATGCTTTGAAGCTGCTCAACTGGATCAGCCACACAACAGCCAATACATGCATCATCCTGTTCACACTAATGACTCAAGACTCACAGCGTCAGGCAGTTAGTTGTATTGAATCACTGCTCAGAGGAGTCACACTGGTAAATGCAGAGAAATTACAGTATCACAAGGGAGGAATCACTGAAAGTACTTTAATTCCCCCATGGATAGAGATATGTGAGTGCATCTGGGTTCTTACAGGTTACAGGAAATGTTTCACAGTGTAAATCAATAAAGATTTCTATGCATAGGTTTAAGTGGCAGAACAGCAAACCATAGAAAACTGCTCAAAAAGTGAAGCAGTTCATCCTTAAACTGCAATACTGAACACAGGAAACAATTAATGTGAAATTCAGGCCAAAAGAACATTACCAACATTATCATCAATGAAGAACAAGTCCACCCAACATAATATCTATATTTAGACAAACTACACTGCTTGACTAATCCAGATGCACATAATCCTAAAAAAAGCTACTGGTAGTGTAACTACTATTCCCATAAGGTGTACACGATACCACGCTGTAAGAATGTGCAATAGCGTTTTCTATGGTGGCTAACGGTAAAACAGCCTATGACTATCAGATGAAGCAAAAACCATTCCTGCAGAAAAAAATGTAGACAACATGAACAGATTTAAAATTTTACATAAAATTAACAAAAACAAGGTAAACAACCTGCAGTTACTGACATAGGTTGTATCTACGGCCTACAAGAGAAGCTTGATAAATAAAACTCCTTTCTCTTTTGTAAGGTCAAAGATTAGATTAGATTGATTTCTACTTCAGGACTACTAAGGCAGCTCATTAATTTTCAATTTTATTCAGAAATGAACTGGACAGTCATCTTGCAAGGTAGCTACCCAAATATCCACAAACTCAAAAACTGACTTCTGCTAAAGAACAACATGTTTTATCCTGCCCAAAACCAGCGTAATATAACTGTAAAGATCAGGAACAAAATCACTAGCGTGCTTTGTACAGATAAGAAAAAAGTTCATCAGCACTTTAACCAATAGAGCCCTCCCTACTCAAGCAGTGGAAAAGACAAAAGCAGGAACACTGCTTACTTGTTGCTACACTTGCCTAAAAATAAATAGTTTTACAGTTGCTCTGAGTTGTTTTAAATCTGCTGTGTTCAGTGACCTCAAGAATCAAACCTTGGAAAAGTGATCCTTACCTCCTCTGCCATTCAGAGCATTTACATTCATCTACCTGTAGAGGAAGCTCCCCTAACAAGCTGCAAAACTTTTCTCCCTTCCTCAGGAAAAATCTGTCTCAAATACAGATTCAAAAGTACATAGGGTTGCCTTAAATTCTTTTTCTATAAGAGAGGGAATCTATTCTTTAAAGGGTCATCAAGTACCAGTCTGATGAAAGTTAGTGCTGATAGTCTCTACAGTTTGTCACAGAATTTAAATTAAGAGAGATCTAAACAGTTTATGCTCTCCTCAGTTGAAAGTGCCAGAAAATCAGTAACAGAAATACACAAGAACACAAAATATTTAAAATCAAAAAAGTCAAGAAAAATATGCTGGCTGAATTTAACTTCCCAGTGAATCAGGCTTACATTCAGTGCTGTAGTAGATGGAAGACTTTAGCTTGAACTATTTCAAAATAACTACAGCTTAATAGTGTTCAGCCTCTCCCATCCTTCACCCTCACTAATGTTTCTATTAAAGCTCATCTGATTGTAGGAGAGCACTAAGCCAGAAGAAAACTAATTCCCCAAACCAGTCTATAACAAAACTAGATAAGAAGCAGTGCAAGAAAAAGGACAAGGAGGACAAGAACAGCAGAACAGCATTAGCTCAGACTGGCCTACAACTGTCATGAACAATACTGTGAGTATAAGCCACCATAAGAAAAGAATACTCTAAAAGAGTGGTGGAGGTTTTTTTTATCCAAAGCATATCTGCAAGTGATTGGGATGCAAGAACCAAAAAAACCCCAAAACTTGATAAGTTCTGCAATGTATACCTTCAACACAAATGTTAACAATTCGCCTGAAAATTTTTCCATGATGTTTCTTATCGCAGTAAAGTAAATTTAACACTGTTCCTTAACATTATTTGGACTCCTCGAAAACACTCCAAATTTGAAAGAGATCCTGTCATATTAATTAAATCAAAAAATTTTATCAGTATATCAAAGTAACTTTAAAAATTGAAGAACTGTTAATAAAATTGGACATGCACACACACACAGCCCTCTTTTTTCTCATCCTCTCCCCTCTGCAATCTTTCTTTAATGTTTCAATAAGCATTACTTGTACTATAGATCCTAAATTCTAACACTACCATTAAAGATTGTGATGTATAAACTGTCTATGTGCATTAATCTAACCTTCATGAAAACTATAGGATGTACATTGAAAATGAGTACTGCATGTATGCCATAACATAACTTTTCCACAAAATGCTATTTCACACAAAGACAATTCTAAGCCTGAGCCAAGTTTCACAACAGTATACTTCTCTAATTGAGTACAAGCAATCTGTTTCGAAGTCATAGAACTTAAGCTGTACCACAAGGAACTCGACATTTGAGAAGTTTGAATTAAAACGAAACATGTCATTTTGTGTTGTTTGTTAAAAAAAGGAGGGGGAGAAGACACATTTTAACAGCACTGCACCCCTGGTGAGAGTAGTGAAAAAGCAGTGACAATTATATTGCTAAATACTGCTAATATCAAAGTTTGGCTTGAAATGTGACCTTCCTACACTAATTTCTCTGTGCAAGGTTTTGGTTACCATCACTTAAAATATTTCAGAAGCTAAAGCGAGCACTGCTTCTAAGTACCTAAGCAGAGGTGCACACAGGCATTTTCTGCTTTGGTAATCTGACATGGCAAACTGTAAAGAATAATAAGCTGAAACAAACTCAGCTAGTCACAATGTGAAGCTTCTCAAGCTCTTATGTAGCAAATTTACTTCAATCCATGCCTCATGGAATACAGGTAGTGTAAATGGAATATAAAAAAACCTGAGCTCACAAACAAGAATCATTCTCAGAAACACCAGAACTTCTTAAGAGAGGCCCTCTTTCATGGGCACAAAAAGTCAAAATGGCCAAGAACAGAAAGTCATAATAAACATGGCACCTCTTCAAAGGGTGCTCTGGAAAAGTCACACCACATGTAAAACTAAATAAAGGGAGGATGAGAGGGTAGTGAAGCAACAGAAGTCTCTGAAATGAAAGTAACTGCACCCTGACCCCATAAAACATTTACAGTTCCTGTAAAGCCTGCAAAACCATTAACACAGTATTCTGAATGTTAGCGAAAAGGGAAGTTCCATATTTGATAACCAAGACCATATCTTTACCTTTTTGTGTTTTCATCTCTGCTTGAGAAGTACTCCAATACTACAATTCTTCCCCTATACATCATCTGACTTCTCACAGTCAAATACCAGTGTGGAAACTACCCCTGAATTATAAGCTATTTGTATCTATTTAGCATTCAAGAATTATCACCAAAGAACAAGTGTGTCACTCAAATACTTTCAGCAAGGGCTGCAACGGCTATTTGCTGTCTGAAATCTCAAGTGTTAATCCCCAGTGTCAACAAAAGATAGTTCTGTAAGAAACTACAATTAAGGCAAGTAACCTCTAAGAGCAAGGGTTCCTTTGTGGACATCAGTTTCACAATTATTTTGTATAGCAGTGGTAGTTTTTGAGTTTTTCAAAAGTACTTTACGTTGTTCAGTCATCATCAATTCTTTACATCACAGAAAAAGAACACCTACCATTTGACAGCCAAGTTTTGCACTTCACCATTCTTATCTTCCAGTAATTTCAAAATCATCTTCACCACCTTTCTTTCACTGTCATCATCCAGCTTGATAGAATCTTTCTGTAGTTCCGTCATCAAGTCATTAGTAGCCATAAACCTGACAAAAGATGGTCAGATAATTATTGCTAAAAGGACACAGGTTATTCACAGTGCTCAGGATTTAAGATTCTCAGTTTCCACCGTCCATTATCAAATAAATCACTTTTAACATTGGATTCCTGCTGTCTGGTTTGTGATGCAAGTAGCACTTATAGAACAGAAAGGAGGAAAATTGTATTTGAAAAGGACAATAACTTTGAGTTAGGTCACCATCTTTGTCTAATAAAACAGCTATATATTTTACTTCTAGCATTTATTTATATTATATTCCATATGATCTCCACAAAGAAAAACTGACACTTTCATTGATTTTAAATAGTCCTTTAATTAGCTATGCTGATGTTGTAAAAAAAAGCTTTTTAAAAAAACTTTGTTAAAAGAATTATTCTCTGCTCTGAGTCTATTTTAAAACAAATTTTAATCAAGAAGAAAAATACAGTTTCCCCAACATTCTCCCAGAAAATTCACAAAAGCCAAACATTCATTAATGGAGAAATAATAGTTAAGCTTATGTTTCATGTGTTTTTCATTTTCTTGCCCTGTATAGACTAGTTTGTTCACAGTCTAGAAACCAGCTGATCACATTTACCCATCCCACAATCCAGGGTGTCATGGTAAAGAACAAAATTAATTCTCGAGAAATCAAGCAAATAAAATCATCTTTCATGGCAATTAATTAACTATTTAATAACAGTCACATCCACTAATAGAAGAATATACTGACAAATGACTTTCCAAAAATACTGCTTTTATGCTTTTTGTTTCTTTTCCTTCTGATGACTGCTTCCCAATCCATTCTTCCTTTGTAAGTACCCTCTCTACTCAGAAGCAGTCATACAGATGTATTACTCAAGTACAAATCCCATGGGCTTTGGTACCAATACTGACCCCCATTCCAAGCCCCTGATAACAAGGGGTCGTAGTTAAACAGCTGAGAGTGACATCTGGACTTTAGACACATCAGCCTCAGGCAGACATCACTTGAGCTCAGGTCTTACTCGGAAGGTTATCTCTGCAGCCTGACATGCCAGATACTACTTTTTCATTGAAAATTAAAGCCAAGACTCTACACAATCTTAATATGCATCACAAATGTCAGATGCCCGCCCTCATATAATGGACCTCAACTTGTCCTGTCTTTTAATAGAGTAATTCCAGTTTAATAGTCTCAAGGTGTTTCTAAGATAAGACCCCACTCGTTTTTCATTCACTCCAATAGTCCAACTGAAGGAAGCCTGCAGTCTGATTGGAACCAGATGTGCACATAAACAGGCTGTGAATGCTAACAGCATTAGTTTTAAGAACAGCAAAGAAAAAAAATACTAGGTAAGCAAAGGTAATGGACAGATAGGATGGAATTTAAGGATATACATAAAATCACACAGTACTAGAACACTCAAAAACTGTCTTCAAGTTCCTGCCAGTATTTATCTCCTTTTCTTCAAAACTTAATAACCTCCTCTCACTTCCTTGGTCAATACCTCCTATTTCCTAGCCTTAGGAATGCACGTGCACTCATCACCTACTTGTCACTTCCTAAACTAGGCAGAGCTTGTGCATCCTCAGTGCTTCAGCAGCCTCTGCACTCAACTACAACTGAAACTCCAAAATGCAATGGGGAGGTCAAGCAACTTTAGGTTATAGTAGCTGGTATTTAGAAACATAGTTTTGAGTAGTTTCAATGTGACTTTTAGTGACAACTGCTGCTTCCGCCGGCACATCAAACCTGCCCCGGTGCAAAGCAGGCAGGGTGTCAGCAGCTCCTCACACCCAGTACTCAGAGAAGTCATTCTCCTCCTCCCGCAACCTTATATTACTGCCCTGCTTAGAATTTAAGCCTGAGTTTCCATGCAGACAATGCATCTGCAAGTATGTGCCTCTTCCAAGAAGTATGGCCAAAGAAATACATCTTCCAAGTTTGCAAGACAAACAAGACAGTTATCCAAAAAAAGGAGGATTAAATTTTACAGTAAAGTGGTTACTTGAACAGTGGTTTATATTCAGCTCCCTGATATCAACAAGATAATTGCTCTGTCCCTCTTCAAATACACATAATCTGATAATAAAAGCACATAAAATTACTAGAACTAAATGCTATTTTATGTGTATCGTGTATTTGCATAATGGATAAAGTTTCATATAATATGTTATTGCATAACAGTCAGTTTGTAAAGGTCTATCATCATGCATTTTTTATGGTTTGTAAAGTTAGATTTTAATCTACGTTAAGATTTTTTTTTTTAATATTCGAGAATTCCAAAGTCGTTCAAAGCTCCTAGAACAGATAATTCCTAAGTGTGCTCTACTAAAGGAACCAAAAACCAGTTTTAATTACATGCAGCTGGAGGAAAAGAAGTGCTTGCTACAATTGCATTTGACAGGTATAACCTAACCCTTTTATGCAGGAAGTTTCTAAGTCATGAAAACCAGTATTTAGTGACAAATCCATTGGAACTTTTTCTAAGTCATCCTCCCCATAAGCAGAAATTGGAAATATCACTTAATCACAGAAATAAATTAGCATGGCAAAAGTAAAAAATCTTCTGTAACATTTAGAGAAAAAAAATGTTTGAATCTAGAATAATTTAAAGAAATACTTTAAAAAAAAAATCAGGCGATTCTTGATTGTCTCTTTTTAGACTAATCACTATTTTTCTGTAATTCCAAAATTTCTAGTCTGAACTCTCCAGGTAATTCCAATCTGAAAGAAATTGTCATGAAAAAAAACATAAATATATCACATTTGTGTCCAGTTTGTCAAAAGTTAAGATTATTCAAAACCCAACTCTATGTTAATTTAATCACCACCTCTGTTTTCCTTTAGATTTTAATATATTAACAAGAGAAATGTTTGGATGTCAACATCTACTTTAACCACAAAACTAAGCACTGTAATGCTGCAGCAAAACAACAAAACACAAGTACATTTTATGTCTTTTCCCTGTCTGTATTCATGTACTCTCTTTGACAAATAAAGGCTTCAAACATGAATTTCTGGTCGCACACAATACAGAAAAAGGTAATTATTTTTCACCTAATGCTTTGCTAGAGCTACCATGTAAATGTATTTTCTCTGCTGTTTTGTAACAGCTTACTTGTATTATCTCACTTTGGTACTTTATATATTACCTACTGTTAATTTATTAAAAAGCAAACAAATGATCCAAAAAAAAGTAGTGCTCTTGTGACAGATCCTAAGCTCAAAATTAAATGCCATAAGACTTAACTCGACTTCCCTCTCTGGATGCACAAAAGCAATACACAACTACATGAGGACTACAAGAATCCTCTGTCTACAACATGCAGCATCCAGGAAGGATGTAAGCTTAGAGTCACAGAATTTTTAGGACTGGAAGGGACCTCTGGAAATCATCTAGTCCAATCCCCCTGTCAAGGCAGGGTCACCTGGACCAGGTTACACAGGAATGCATCCAAGTGGGTTTTGAATGTCTCCAGAGAGGGAGACTCCCTGACCTCCCTGGACAGCCTGTTCCAGTGCCACCACAAACAGATTTCACAGAATATTCTGAGTTGGAAGGGATACCCAACGATCATCAAGTCCAACTCTTAAGTGAATGGCCCATATGGGGATCAAACCCACAATCTTGGTTTTATTAGCACCATACTCTAACCAACTGAGCAACATAAAGTTCTTCCTCATGTTGAAGTGAAACTTCTTGTCTTTTAATTTATGGCCATTGCTCCTTGTCCTGTCACTGGGCACCACTGAAGAGCCTGGCACCATTCTCTTTGCATCTCTCTTTGAGGTATTTATATGCCTTAAAGAGACCCCCTCTCAGTCTTCTCTTCTCTAGAACAAGCAGGCCCAGCTCCTTCAGTCTCTTCTGATATGAAAGATGCTCCAGTCCCTTAATCTTCTTTGTGGCCCTCCACTGGACCCTCTCAAGCCTGCCGTGCTAGCTAGCCCTCCCTGCTCCTATTCGTAGAATCACAGGCTCCATATTTTTTTGAGCTTGGGAAGGGGATCTGGGAGGTCACCTCACCCGGCCTCCGCTGCTCAACGCAGGGTCAGTGACAGTCGGTTGCTCAAGGCTTCGTCCGTTCGGCCTCCGAGCATCTGCGAGGCCAGGAATTCAAACCTCATCCCTGCCTGTCCCCGCCAGCTCAGCAAATCTGACGGGCCGCTCGGCTTTCCCTGCTGCCGGGGATCCCTGCCCAGACGCGTGGAGGCCGCGGCCGTGCGGGCAACGCCGCGCCCCGTCCTTCCCAGGCAGCGAGGAGGGACGCCCCGCTCCCGGGAACTCTCTCCCCGGGGCAGCAACCGCCGCAGATTCGCGCCCAGTCCCGCAGTGGCGGCGCGGGGTTCACAGCCCGGGCCCGCGGACTGGCCCCCGCCGGGCACTGTCCGGGCCGCCGCGACACCCACCAGGCCCGGGGCCAGCGCGGGGGCGTGCGCGGGGCCGGGGTGTCCGCGGGGCCGGCGGAGGGAGCGCGAGGAGGGGGCGGCGGCGGGTCCCACCTGAAGTCCTTGTCGCTGGATGTCATTTTCTCCAGCAGGTTGGAGATGTGGTACGAGGCGCTCGCCATGTTGACGGACGCGGCCGGGGCGGGAAGGGGGAGAGAAGGAGGAGACGGCGGCGGCGTCTTCCCGGCCTCGCCGGCTCCGCTCCGCCCGCGGTGCAGGGGCCGGGCCGGGCCGGGCCGGGCCGGGGTGGGGGGGCGGCTGCGGCGGGCGCGGCGGGAGGGGCGGGCAGGCGCGCGCGGCCGCTCGCGCTCGGCGCCGGGGTCGAAGGCCGGCGCCGCTGATTGGCTGCGCGGGCGGGCGGGAGGTGCGGGCGGCCCTGTGACACCTCGTGGCGTCAGATCGTACGTGGCGCGGAGCGTGCGCGGGAAGCTCGGGCGGCCGCGGGAGAGAGGCGGGGAAGCCCGCGGGGCCTGCGTGTCCCGGCGTGCAACGCGCCCACGCGGCGGCCGGGGCTCTTGGCGGTGCACGCCGGGACGTGTAGTTTGGAGCGCGGCGAGTATCCCTGAGCGCAGGGCACGCTGGGATGCGGAGCCTCGTTGTGGGTGGGTGGGGGCGGTTACAATGAGGGAGAGGCGGTGGAGGTGAGGTTGGAAATTAGCTGCTTTAGGTTGAGTGCTGTTCGCATCCAAAGGGTTCAGCAGTGCTAGGTTCCTGTTAGTGCCCCCCGTGGGGCACCGGGAGCGCTGTTGCTCGCACTGCGGCCACTACAAGCCCGCAAAATATCCTGGTGTTACAGAGCCGGCAGCTTCTGTTCCAGGCCCCTTCATAGATGTGCACTGTCTCCCGTCGTAGCTGAGCACGGTCTCAAAAATGTCAGATGGATCCCAAAAGTGATGTGAAAAATCATCCGTGGCTTGCAGAAAGCAGCTTGGAAATGTGATGTGAGTGCTTTTAGAGCCCTCGGAAGCCAAAGGACACCTTTGGAGAGTGGGCCTTTTTTTGCGTACCCCGTTACTGTTCGTGCCAGTCTCATTACTTTTCTGGGCACAGCCCATGGTCTGTCTATGCATGGGTAGATGATATGGAGCAGTAGTAGAACCGAGGAAATATTTCCACACATTACATGTTCCTTGAGGTTTGTGTTAATGTCCAAGAATTCTAATATCCTTACTCCTTCTCAGTTATGTGTGTATACAGCAAACCTACAGAAATGCCTTTTGATCTCATGATTAAAAACGAAGACTTGAACTATAAAGAAAATATCTTCAAGAGTTTATTACATGCGGTTTGCAGGCAGCCTTGCAGAGCAGCTGATGGAAAACACACACTTTACTCAATAGAGTGAAGTTGTGTATCACCCCCAGCCATAGTGTACAAACAGCTGTCTTGGAAGGTACTCCTGCTGTTCATTGTCTGGCAGCTGGGTTGGAGAGAGCTTAATGTGTACTGATCTCCTTCCCCAGAGTAGCTCAGTAATAGGAAGAGATGGGGCAGCATGATGTTGGATTAGTGGCATTGCAGTAGGCGTGATGTAGGGATGGAACAAGGAAAATGGAAGTAGTCAGGAGCAGGATGGGTGTCCGGAGGAGAAAGAGGGGAACATCAGTGTGGATGGAGGAACTGTAGTTAGGGGAAGCACTCAAAAGGAGAGCTGGCCCAACGATGACTGATTTTCAAGTAGGCCATTCATTCCTTTGATTTCGGAATACTGAATTTAGAGGTTACCTTTAGAGAGAGAAATTCTTTACTTCATTTTGCTTGAATGCTTGCGTTGGATACTTAAGGAAGCCAACTGGAACAATACAAATGGAGATAGACTCAATCTTGACTTGGTTATGACGGCTGAAAAATGGTTTATGATGTTTGAATTGCAGTGATATTTTACACACACAGGAAAATTGCATAGCTCCTCTTTGAAGTACTTAGGCATAAAAAATTGAAGTACAAATGTTTGACATTTGGCACATTGATTCATATTTTGCCATGGGAAGGTTAGCACTATTCTAAATCATTTTAGTGACTGTGACTTTTGAGCGTCTTACAGTTCCCAGGAACAATTTGTTTCTGGGATGTCAGTGTCCCGCAGTTCTCACATACTGTGGGGAAAGACTTCTAACCCAGTCTTTATTTATATTCATGACTTTGGTACTAAGTGGGGATCAGGGTGGTGGTGAAACATCATCTGTTCCAAAAACATTCTTCCCACATGGTTACCATGATGCATTATACTGGAGAAGCATGTTACGACCAACTAGACAAAAGAAAATCCTCTATGCTAGGTAAGGTTGTTGATTCCTGTTGCGGAGTAAAGAATTGCTAGTGGTCCCTGTGAACTGCTGTTGGGATTTACTTCTCAAATCCTTACAGTTTTCAATTAGACACTAAACCAGACTTATTTCCTACTTTGGGAATCCTACATACATCTACTTTTAAGAAGAGAATGTGTGAGAAGAAAAAAAAATCAGAACAATTCTGCTCCAGTCTGCTAGACAACCTTGAACACTTCTAAAATTTTTTTTAAAATCATTTAACATCATCCTTCCCATGCTAGTTTCTGTACCTGCAGCTTACCTGCCACTGCTTAAATCCAATTTCCCATTACTGCCAGAAACACTGGCCATCATGAAGGAAGTCAAAGTATTTTTTTGTTCAAGTACATTTATTACAATTGGGATTCAGCTGTAGTAGATACAATGTTCCAGAGGAGACTAACACAGAGAGAGACTAATTGAGTTGAGATTTTTTTCCAGCTGATAGCAAACAACTTCACAGATGGAGTGGTACTCCTGATCTGTTCCCTGTAGACAGGCATATTAGATGGTCTTTATTCACTCACAAAGATATCTGAAAGCTTAATTAAATGCTGGAACTTGAAAGGATTTATCTTGTTTTACACTTGCAAATATATTCCCCACATGCTGAAGAAGAGAGAAGAGCAGAGTTAGTTTGGAGATGCATTCACAGCTCTAGAATTTGAACTCTCCTCATTTTGCAGTTTCAGTTCACACAGGAGCTGTGAGCCTGCTGATGGACAGAGGATATTGGGAATGTGCTGCATCTTTATCTGTCAGTGTAGAAAGAGCTATACCACGCAGCTTTACTCAGCTTAAAGGTAATCCTTTCAGATGACAAGTTAAAAACTGGTTATCATTTTTTACAGAGCTGGTTTTGGGGAAATAAAAGGAAATTTTCTGCTCTAAGTCAAAAGCTGCTCACTGCTGCAAGCAGATATTTGAGCCAGAGAACTTACAGTTGTGGTTTATCACTTAGATATGTGACTGACTTTGAACATCTGAACCCTGACTTTTCACAAAGATGCCTATAAAGAAAGCCTTTACAAATTTATTGACTGATCATATTAACAAACCAGAGATGGTTTCAAAGAAGTAATCTAGACTGAAATATGAAAGGAAAAGGAGTGGTATGGCAATCTGCAGCTTAAAGCAAACAAATTGAAAAAGCAGCATGACCTACACTGCCACAGTCACATGGGTAAATGTGTGTTTCAAGGTATTAAGGTTATTATTGTCTTGCATTGTTATAAATTGTTATGTTCCAAGACATGAAGATGAGTTAGCTGTGGAATTTAAAACTTAGCTTTGGAATCTTAACCATAATAATACTCTGCTAAGGGTGGGTCTTTTTTCCCCCCCTTCTTTTTGTTTTACTTATTTTTCAAGTTACATGGCAGTCCATAGCAAATGATAGCAATGTCAAAGGGCACATTTAGAACTGAATAAATCGTCAGCTGCCTTTCAACCTCATAAACCAAAGTTAAGTTTTTTTCTCTTCCTAAAGCTGAAAACTTGCTCATATCCAAGTTAAGTAAGAATCTCAAAGCATCTTTCCAAAAGCAGTGGGTGCTACTATGCTGATTCTCACTTAAGATTGTTTCATTTCTGTACAACAGAAGATACTGTTGATCTCATTTAGCAGATATTTCTACACACTTACCAAAGACAATAAATAATAGCTACAGCCGTGAATTGCCTTCCTAACCCAGACAATCCATTTCTGTAAAGCAAAGAAAACCAAAACAAAGTGTTTGAGTATCTGATTCCTCAGCTTTAAAAGAGAAAGATAGGAAAACAGTGCTGAAAAGAATATATTCATCTGGTTAAGTAATGGACTGAAGCAACTGTCACGTAAGCTCGGATTGTCTCTCTAAAAGAACAGAGCTCCACTAGCACTCTCATCATAAGATTAGGTTTCAGGAAACATAATATCTTAAAGGAAAAAATGTAACAGGCTTTTAATTAAAAGGTTAAAAAAGACCCCAAAAACCTTCCCCACAATAATGCTAAAAGAAATTTCCCTTCTGATTACTAAAGACTGCAGAGATTTTTGGAGGATCTCTGGTCAATTTCAGATGCATACCACAACCATACAAAAGTAAAAAAGAAAATTAATCTTTCAATTTAAATCTGATTTGAAATATGAGCCAGAAATTTAGACTGAAAGATTTTTATCATTGTATTATTCTCATGCCAAATGAACTCAGTTTACAGAACAAAAGATTTGTTTCTTCCTTGATATCTCTCCTAAAAATCAGTCCAAGTTGTTTTTCCTTGACCATTTGCATTTCCATTCCTTATCACAACTCTAGGTTTATAATTCCCTCAGAGCCCTTTATGTTTCCCTTTATGTCAGCACACCTTTATATCTTCATATAATGATCTCAGCAATGCTTGTACTCAAGACACTTCTCTTCAGTAAACTTAAAAGCACTTGTTTAATTGGAACTTATGTTACTGAACAATATTCTTTGTGTCTCGGAAGTTGTAAAAATACAAATTAAGTGTTTGCCCTATTGAGGCTTATTAGAACAAAAGGTAGCTGTGTTATGGATTTTGTTTATTCTGGATCCCACATTTCAGAAAAACCTTGACCATACTGATAATTTAGAAATTTCAGCATTAGTACATTGGCTAATTACAAGTCAATGTTTGTTAAAGTGGACATAAGAGCTAATCTGTTTCATTTCCTGACATAACAACACTGCTGCTGTTCTCTCTATTCTTGCTTAAGAGTGCTTCACTTCAGGCCAACAGAAAGTGCTATCTCTCACATTTATCAGACTCTCAGTAACAGCAAAGTTGAAAAAATAAAAGTACAATTATTGTGCCATGAATCAAGGTGAACAGAGAGGGCTAAAGCTAAATTGCAATTAATGAATTGATGGAATGGAGTGTAACCTTGCAGAGTCTGATTTCTCGGGGCAAAACTGACTCATCCACAGGATTGTCCAAGGTAAAGTGACTCAGTGATTCTCCTCTTGGAGCAGATGATGCCTGTTGCCATCCCACCATCACTTGAACAACAAACATAGCCCACTGCCTGTCAAGATGTGTCTCTGCTGGCTGCCACAAACTGACTCACGTTTTTATCTTTTCGGTGCTCTCTGAATGTTCTACTGAAGGGCTTTATTAGTCTTTAACTCACATGTTGGAGCTGAATGGCTCTTAATATACAATGTATTCTTTTCTTTTAAATTTACTAATTGAGAAATAAATTAATAGTAGTTACTCAACACAGACTGTCATCTACATTCTCACAGCAGAACCTAAAAATATTCTGACTTCCATGTACTCTGCATGAAAGACTTCTCCAGGTGTCCCTATATAGTTGACTGCAGTTTTTAGACCTGACATGTAATACCTGTGGTGTTCAGGTCCTCCTGAGCAGGAACACACACTGGCTGGTCTTTTATTAGAGACTCTTGTAGGACTGAGAAGTTCTAGGTTTGATCAGCTCAAAACTTCTTTGATTTTTTTTTTAGTGAACTGAAGTATATTTAACACATAGTAAGTGTTATGCACAAAATCTTATTAGAGGAGTACTAAATTCAAGTACTGATTAGAGCCTGTCTGTGTAGTTTCTTCTGGTTACTTGTTTTTGCAAAGAGAACGAGGGTAACAGTAGCAGGCAGGGGAACAGACTAGAAAACTGTGGTAAAATTGCTTTCACTGTTTGCACTGACAGAACTGCCACTTCCTTCAAAATCTTTGAGTGCTTTGAATCAAAGCCTTGAAAAGGTCAGAAATAAAGATCCAACCCCCAGAACTTATGAATCTGCTAATACATGAGAAAGCTCCATACCTCCTTGTCCTCATTAGAGTTTTATCCAAACTTAGCTAACTCATGGCTCATTTGTGCCATGACCATTTCTGCTTTTCCCAGGAGTCAAGGCTGCTGAAGCGGCGGCAGTCTCCGGGGTATTTCCATTTTCTGGCCGTCCTGCATGCAGGTGGTGGTACTGAAGAAGGGCTTACCAACAACTGGTCTCCAGCTCAGCACTGAACATCTTCATGGATGTCAACAGCCATTTGAACAGAAACACCAATTAATTTATATTGCAAAAATTCCCACCATTAGGATTGAATCCTGGGGCTTAGAGTCTTTCGACATGATATTGCTCTTTGATATAAATTGTTAACCACATGTTTATGTGCTAAAATTAGTTAACACAGTGTCATAAGTGTGAGAGTTGTTTCAATGCATATATTATTAGGCTATTCATATTGTTAGGGGCCCCTGGTGGTCTAGTGGTTAGGGTGCAGCACTTTCACCACTGCGACCCAGGTTCGATTCCCAGCCCCCCGGGCAGATGAAGCTCGTCAGCCCTGTAAGGCAATCCATCTAAGAGAAGGTCACTCTAAACAAACCTACGTCCTGAGACCCTCACTGCCACTGTCCAAGCTTGCTCGGCCCCGGCAGATGAACCTCAGGATTAAAGGGTGGGCTCAGTCCAGCGCACGCTGGGTCTCACCTAAAAAATCCACTGCGCAGGCTCAAAGGGTCAATGACCTTTCCCAAATCTTCGCTCGCGAAGACTGGCCATACTTACTATTCATATTGTTCTAGGATTGGTAGCCATGTATTATAATACCAAGGTATAGTCTAAGTTTAGAAGATATATATGACAGCATATGTTTGAACGTGTCAGAGCCACCATTAGAATTTTTAAACCCTCTGGGTTTGTAAAATTTCTCTTCTCTTCATAATGAATACGTATTAATTTGAGTAGGACTGCTAAGTATTGGTGTCTTAATTGTGAATGTATGTATCTGAGTGGCAAACACAAAACAAAGTATTAAAAGAAGTGAGAGTATCAGCCAAGAATCTCACGCATCTCATGTGCATTATTCAAGCAGGAGGAGGCTCTTGAAAGGAAACATCTGCAATTAGCTATAATACTTCTGAAATCATTACATGCCAGGAAGAAAAGCATATATCAAAACCAATATGTTTAAATTTCAAAATAATCTTAAGAAATGCCTCCTGTTGTTCTGTTATCTCTCGGGGGGTTAACGACGCCAGTAGTTCTCACTGAGAGATCTGGTATTTTTTAATAACTTCTATCATGAAAGTCACCCACGTGCCACAGTCTGATGAAGAGGAATGTCATTTCCAAAACAAAAGTAGTTCTCCAAAACCTCTTAGTCTTTTCATTTATTGGAAATTGAGACATATTACTTATGTTAGAAATATCTCCTGCCTGTCACAGTCAAGATGACGTATATGATTTTTAATGTTTTTACCACTTTTGTGGTACTGCCATGTCATGGATTGAGGTGGCCAAGGTCAACCCATAACACAGTCTAAGAATGTAATTTTATCTCTGTGTTCAGCTATAATGGTACTAGATCTGGGCTTTGTTCTGTTATCATCTTGTAGAGGCCAAAATTAGTAATTTTTGTAAGATTTTTGCATTACCAACCAGTGCTTCAGAGAGACTGGAACAAATATATTGTAGAAGCAATGTCATTTGGAAGTAAGAGATACAGAGAGACAATTTTCTGCTCACATATTGCAAGATAAAGATGATTTTGTCTCTCAGTGATTTGTAAGAATGTCCTTGAAGTTAATTCATACACATTTCTGGAAACGGTGCTTTCCCTAACAACAGAAATAAATAAACTTGTTTCTTTGTTTTCTTGTACCTGATGTCATCATTTACACCACTACTCAGTGTTAAAAAGCTGCTCTGATGGCATTTTGCAGTCACTTTGTCCTGCTGTGAATAGTGGCACTCCTGCGGCTGTGATGGGCATGGATGGAAAGAAGGTGCCGTTTTGCAGCCCTATCCTCCACTGCGAGGTCATCAAAGTGTGCTGCCCAGAGAGCAGCACACTGTGAGAGCAGGATCTAGTGTCTCTCTATTCTTTCTCAAAATCTGTGCTGCCAAGGACCAGAGAGCCAGATGGAGAAGCACCTACTGTAGTCTGCCAGTCTTGTGTGTGGCCAAGTTTTTGCTTTTCCACATTTGCCATTGTGAATAAACCACAGAAGCTCATTGCTCTCAGGTCCTTGTGGGTTGCTTTCATTCGTTGCTCTCTAGTCCACCGTGCTTTTCTATGTGGTATTAGCAGGGTCGTTCTAGGAACCCATCAAAGGCTGAGAACAGCATCAGCAGCTGAAAGAGAACTTTCATTACTTCTCAGCAGTGTATAGTCTCAGGCATCTAGCTCAGAAACTGTGATACCATCCTGAAGGAATAGTTTGTACATGCTTCAAGGTCAGCTTGGAAATATAGCTATTTTATTGCAATGGAAATATCCCATTTTAGTCAATCTTCAGGAGCAAAACATTACTAAAATACTTACAAGAGTAATTTTTTTCTGTTCAGAACTTTTTGTCTACAAACTGATGCAAAGGGGTTTTGTTTTCAAGAAGCCAACTCCAAAATAATATTTCCTTTAGGTAACTCAGCCGGTGGTGCAATAGTGCCCCTGCAGGCCGGTCAGAAGTTGGCAGTGGTCCATAGTATTTCAGACTTCAGTGAATTGTGGAACATGTTTGGGTTTTGTGAGCCATCTTGGTTGATTCAAGGCTGGCTTGAATAAAATAAAGCGCTTCAGAGGTCAGGAAAAAAAATTCATTTTTTGTTTTCCTTAAAGAGTGCCCAGTTTCTCAAAGTTCTTTGCTCAAGTTAGCATTTTACGACAGGAATGCCATTTTCAGCATCAAGCAGGATAAACCCCTGACACATTTGCAAAACCAAGCAAAGTCTGGGATGGTGAATACATTTTCAGAACTGTGGGAACTAATCAAAGGCAGTATTAAATCCATTTGATTCTCTTAGGAACCACTTGGATGTCCAGATAGATAATTCAGAACAAATGTGTTCCTTTGAGTGCTTAGAAACAACTGGAATGAAAATCCATTCTCACATCAGTTGCTAAACACTGACCAAAGGAGCAAATATTATGCTGAACCATGTTCCAATCTGGTGCAAGGGATAGAAATATATCTATCTATATACATCTTTCAAGAAAAAGTACTGGGTCATGTATGATCCACTGTTGGATGGCAGAAGGAAAAAGAGCTCCATGTCACAATCATTCCTACATTTCCCACCAAGTAAAACATCTGTAAAATTGCCCTGTTTGAGGCTTCTCCCTTGAGGTAACTTTTGCACCTGCAGCTCAAAGATTAAATTGCATCTGTTGAAAAGAAATGGCCATTTGGGTCACATATGTTATCAAATGACATTTTTTATTTATTTGTGCAGCTAGAGCTACTGAATTAGGAATTCTTTCTCTTCATTTTGAGCTTTTCTGTGGATCTTCATCATAAAGTATTTTTTTTGAGACAGTGAAAACACTGAGGCTTGAAGTTATATAGCAGGAAAAAAAGGAAGAAGAGGGCATAATGTTTTCCTGAATTTCTCTGTGATAATATATCTGTATTATTAATACTTCAGTAGCGTAAATAATTCTATATTCACATAGTACCACTTAGGTACCCCAAAAAGTTGTAGATTTTCATTGTTAAATACTTTACTCTTTCACTGTCATGTCTGGTAGGTACTTTACTCTCTGCCATCCTCACACCTTTGAATGATGTTGTTGAAGTAATCTTTGTGTCAAGCACCAATTCCCACCCTTCCTGATGTGTGCAGAATATGGTATAAGAGCAATAAGAAAGTAAGAACAGTGTCTACTTCTGAAAAATAAGCTTTATACATGGAGGTGCTCCCAACATGTGTCTTTTAGAATATTTGCAGAAAGCTTATATTAATTATATTCATGTAAAATAATATTCTTCTAAAAGAGTTGTTTGATGACAACTATAATTCTTTAGCTTTGTACAGGTCTTATTCTAGACTAATTTCTTTATGGACACAAGCTCAGTAGCAATCAACATTAGTGAACTAGTTATCTACATTCACCTTTTTTTAATATGAAAAAACTGACTAATCAGAGTCATTGACAAAAAAGGCAAAGGAGTAATGGCTGAAAATACACCACTGCTTTTAAAAAACTGATATGGACTGCTCAGTCCCTCTGTGTTGCCTCCTTAGTGCTACTTTCTCTTTTGACAAGATTTACTCAAACTGGCTCTCTTGTGGCACGTATGGTTGGTGGCATATAGTGTCAAGTAAGCCCCAGATTTTCATCCTTTTTCCCAACAGGGATTAAAATTTCTATGTAAACAGAATCAGATGATGATCCAAAATGGAAGCTAGTAATTCAATTTTATATGTTGTTAGACCTGTAATCTTGGTATAAATTCATAGTTACTTCCAACTGAAACTCACCAAACTTGCTATCTATCTCATGCATATTTATTTCAGTTACCAACAGTTCTCATGAAAAACTAATGCAAAAGGTTCAAAATGTATTTACCATAATTCATATGACTCATCTTAAGAGCCATCATAATTTATGCTCAATATAAGTGACTAAAGAACAAGACCATACTTCTAGGAATGGGAACAAAACAGGACTACAGTGAAAAAATATTCTCTGGCTGGGTTATCAAATGGTATAAGATTTTCCAGGGTATTTCCAGTGATTAGGGAATGCAAATGGAGTGCAAAAGAAATGAATGTTGTCCTAAGTGCTGAATGATATCATGAACTGATGAAGCAATCAGCCCTTTTTGTTCCAAAGACTCATTTTACAGTAGAGGGAGAAAAATGTAGCAATCACAACCTGTAATGTGATGATGGCAGATGCAGTGAGAGTGATATTCCATTAAAGTTAATATTTCATTTTTCATTAAAGATCAACAAGTTCAACAATAGCTGAAGTCAGATTTTTATCTGTTTCAGCTGTCATTACTTTTTCATTACTTGCCATCAATGAATATTTTCAAGCAGCAGATCCAGTCTTTAACATAGCTGTGCTCAACTGATGCACCAAAACACACTTAAAAAGGAAACACTGGGAAATGATTTAATAAGCAGTTATTTAAACATGAGGAAGAATTAAAGGAAATAATAAACCCAGTGTGCACTGAATTGCAAATAGGAAATAGTTTCTTTTTGCTCATAGGGCTCCATAAAGCCTCAAAGCAATGGACGTGCTTCATGTCCAATCGATGCTGACAGAATTAAGGTTCCTGATATTTAAGAATGAGTCACATTGTGTGGCTGTTGTGGTAGATTTTCTCTTGGCCATAAAAAAATCTTGTGATTCCAATAATAAAAACAGTTCCCCTCAAATGCTGCAGCTTAGTTCTTATCCCTTCAAACCAAACCCAAGGAGCTGATGGCACAGAA